ACGGGAAATGGATGAAGGGAAGAGCTCATGTCTGCAAACACAACAGAAGAGAAGAAGTGGCTGAATATCTTGCAGATTCCTTGAAATCTGTGATCACAAAAAATCAGATCAGTTAGGTGCAGGTTTTGTGTCTCCTGCCCAGCAGCGCAGTCAGCTGACACAAATCTGCTGTTTGGCTGAATTTCTTTTGTCAGGGTTTCCCCACAAAAGTAAAAACACTTGAGATCACTGTTAACATTTTGGCTGTATGTCATGGTTTCTCTTGTGTCTGATGCCTGAGCCTTTGCATCTTCCACATTTGCTTGATGCTCTGGAGGCAGTATTGGAGGTGACACCAATTCACCTGTGGGCTCCTCAGACTTTATTTTGCTGCCACTACTTTTCCCAGCATTTGGAAGCTTCAGATCAGCTCAGGCTGTCCCTATTTACTTTGAAGAGAGAGAAAAGTTTCTTTCTTTTTTTTTTTCTTTTAAGACTCTTTACAGGATTTTCAGAAGTGATTTATGAATATGAATCACAATATACCTACTCTCCTCAGTAGTATGTTAACACAGCTGTAGTGCAAGCTGCTCAATAGAGTGACAAGCTGATAATAAATACAGTAATAAATGAAGTGTTGGTTATACTGCCGTCACCTCCAAGTGCTATTTGTTCTATAGCCTGTCATGTTCTTGATAAAAAAGATTTTTATTTTTATTTTTATTTTTAAATGAGATGCTACCAGCTTCCAAACAAATTCTGCAGCTACACCAGGATTTATCTTCATGAACAAGCTGAGGAGCAAAACTCTGTGTGAAAATTCACAGTATGCCCTTTGGACACCCTGAGGGAATGCTGCTCTGAAGGGGCCTGACTCCCAGCAGTCTGGGAGTCAAATTCGGGTCAAATTCAGTGGCAGGGCCCCATGCCTGCTGATGCCCTGAGGCAGATGCAGCTGGTAGTGCAGTAGCTTAGCAAGCAGTGTCCCAGTGTGCTGCACTGCAGCATGGGTGCTGTAACAGGCCAGAGTGCAGATGGGGAGCAGGAATTTTATCCATGTTTTACTCCTTCACGGTATCTGCAGGCATGCCCTGCAGTAAGTACTGATAGAAAATAAAGAATGCAGCCTGTGAGGTTGGTGTGATGGCAGAGAAAGTCTTAATGGGTCTTTCTGAGGAACCAGATGCAGAAAGGTTGTATGTTTTACAGACCAGTGATGAGTCTGCCCATGATTTTTGTAGATGTGGATACTGGCTGTCTTTCTGTGCTTTCAAGTCACAGGAAAATGTCAATATCTTAGATGGGATATGCAGAAAAGACCTGAACGAAGTAACAGGAAGGAAAGGAATTAAATCGGTTCAGCTTGGCCAGCCACCACCAAATGAGAAAATAGCAGCAAAGTTTGAGCACTCAAAACCAGACCTGTGAGTGATCCAAAGAGCAGAGACATAAGATATCCTTGAGCAAATCCAAAGACTGCTCTGTTCATGAGGCTAAATGCCATAGCAATGAGATATGGACTAGTCTCTGGGGACGAATAGCTGGAATCCCATCCCTGGTGTGGTGTAGTCCCTTGATCAAACTGGACACTCAGAAGCTGGAGGATTCAGGGGGAGGAAGAGCCATTCCCATGGAGGCCTCTAGTTCTAGTGCAAAGCCACCATTAGAGGCAGGGGAAGTGTGAAAAACCTCAGCAAATCCCAGCTCAGGACCACCAGTGCTTGCTGTGTTTCACCACTCTTTGCTTAGGCAAGGTTGTATTACTGCAAAATAGAACTTTGGTACCCAGATATCAGCATCACATCACCTAAAATTTATGTCCTAGGTGTAGGTGCTTTGGGGATTGAGCAATATTGCAGTGTGTCTAGCCTGAATTTTGTATTATGCCTCTGCATACTGAACTACAGTTACACCATGGTCTGAATTCTGGCTTTGGCCCATTTTGAATAATTTCCAGAAGTAATTTTAAAACAATATTTAGGCATTACATATAGCGTCATTCAGTTTCCTTTGCAGTAGACCCAGGGTTGTAGATAGGCTTTTTTATTTTGGTCAGTAAATTGAAGACTGAACTTAAATTGCTACACCAAGAATGAAAAGATGCTCCACAGGTGGGTTGGCTCTTGGGAGTTATTTAAATATCAGGGGACCAAAGGTACAAATGTGGGTTTTTGCTGAAAAGCTCTTTGAAAAATATTTACAGGATGATGAGGAAAAGTGAAATTAAGCATCACTGCACTTCATGAGAGCTTGCATTTTAATGAATATAAAATCAATTTTGGATGCATTAGCTGATCCATAGCTAAAGCTGAGCTGATTTTGAACTTAAGCATGATAAGAATCTGAAGATACTTTTCTGGGATGGTATTTCTGAGTTCCTCACTCATGGGTGACTGTTCAGGTACCCAAGAGGGTACTTCTGGTGTAGAAGAGGATAGGTAAGATCAGAACTAATCCAAATCATTAAAAAAAAAATAAAATCAGAGGGATTAATTACTTTCTCTCTCATCAGTGACATTCCAGTGGTAATTTAATAACAGGGAACGGTAACATTTTGTTCCTAGTAGATACTAGGAACAAAAATCAGAGAAAATACCACTTTTGACTTTTTAAATTGTGATATTCACCAATGGGTCCAGATCCCCCTGCATCTCCTTTCTCCAGGATGTGAGGGATCCCACAGGGACCAGTTGGGTTCCAATTCCACTCCCAGGCATTTGTCAGGGTTTAATGAGGGTGCATGCTCTGCACCCCTCATTTTCCATCACTCCCCAGCCCTCCTTTCCTCTGGGGCAGTGATGAGAATGAAGAAGTGGGCCAGAAAATATCCTCTCCTTCCCTACCTCTGCCAGGTTTCTGCAGGGAGGCCTGGATTGAGCTTTCTGTTCCTTTGGCCTGATTTTCTCTGCCAGGCAGCAAGGAGTTGAGGGGTTTAATCATTAATAAAAGTTCATTCTAAACTTTGAGAGCCTTTCAAGCAAAGCAAAGATCAGGAATATAGAGGACCCCAAGGTAACACCCTAGACTAGCAACTGCAGCAATTATTGTGGGTAAATGCATTATGACGAGTGGTCAAGGGATTTGCTGCTTCTTGTATTTGAGATTTGTAACCCCACCTCTGAAGTGTATTTCTCCTGTGCCTCTGTCAGCTTGCACAGCCTCAGCCCAGGTCAACTTTCTGCTGTGTTGCTCCTCGGAGAGCAAGAACCAGCCTGTTCGACCAGCTGTCAGCTCATTACAGCCCTCTGTGTCCTCCACCCTGGGCAGGAAGACACAGTTGCTTTAAAAACTTGAGCAAGCCCAGGCTCTCATGCAAAAGAACCTCTGTCCAGGTAACAGGGTTCCAACCCACAGCAAGGGGCTACTTATGGGGGACACCCACACCTCCAGTGGCCCTTGTGCCAGGGAGCAGGCAGGCAGAGGGAAGAATAACCTGTCCCAAATCTCGCTGGGTGAAAGGGGGGATATTCCTGATCACGTTCCATCCCCAGACTTGTGTCCCTGTGCCATCACACAGGCTGGCAGCAATTTTGCTTGGCTGGAATTGCTCCTAGGAGAGTTTGTTCCCAGGCTGGCTGTGCTGCTCTTCACAAGGTGATTTTCCTTGTGGATGCTTCTGCTGCACTATGTGTAAGGTAACACTTCAAGAGGAGGAAAACACATTATTTTGCTTAGGCTGTCTGTTGCAGCCCATATTTAGGTACATGGTGGTGTTTGTATTTGAAATTTTGTGCTGGTCGCTGTATTTCAAATACTGCAACAGGCAGCTGCTGTTAGGGTAGAGTTACTATTGCACATTCCATGAGCACACAAAATTGTCTAGGAAAGGAAACTTCAGTGGAAGATCCAGGTGGGACTTGGTACCATCATGATTCCTTTAAATACCTGGCTTAGCAACAGGGCTGCCTAAACATGAGGCAATCGCTACCAGAAGTGCCTTACCATTGCTGGCAATTTTTGATATGCACCGGTGGCAGGCTTTCTCCAGGCCAGCAGCCATTGTGCTGAGCCTTTTGGGGTGCCTGTGGAGACAGAGAAATGAATATGGCTGTGAGAAGTATCTTCACATTACTAAGCATCTTGACTCAGAGTACTCACACATGCTGGCAGGCTTTCACTACCCTCAAAAACTCCAGGCACGCACAAACCCAGCCAGCAGCCAGCAGTGTGGCATACCCAGAGGCTGGTATGCCTCCCAGCAGCTCCTGGCTTGCCTGCTGGTGATGATGCTCAAGCTCTGGGGTCACAGGGAGGCTGGGGGAGAAGAGTTAATGCCATCTTCCTGAAAACCATGAATGGTTCTACCTTCACTTTGATTTGGTTTTGGGCAGAACAAAGAGTATTTTACTCTTTGTAAAGAGTAAAACAGGTGGGGTTTGCTACACAAACCTCAGCAAGAATTAACTAGTGAGCAAAAATGAATTAAAGAAAAAAAGGAAGAGAGAAGATGAAAAGAGTTTTAAGGTCAGGGACGATTCTGAAGAAGGATATTGAATAAAAACTGCAAACCACAGGGAGCCTGGAACAACATGCCTTTGACAGAAAAGTAACTGGATTAGAAAGTAGCCCCTTGTAAAGAAGAATTTTTACAAGGTGGGGTGGATGAGCAAGCAGCCAGGCATCCAAGGTCGGGCCTCAGACAGCACCAGACAGTAAAGTAGCATCCCACATCAGTGGGAGTGTGGGAAGCTCAGACACACACGCGCGCACTCCAAGCCTAAGCTTCTGGCCAGGGTCACCACAAGTCTGCCACCACCAGCAGCTGTGTGACAGAGGAAGGTGTGTGTGGAGGAGGCCAGGATAAGGGAAGCTGCATTCCTGCACCTACCTCAAAACAGCCTCTAGATTTCTTAATGGTTAAAGAGCAGTATTAAACTGACATGAAATCCACCCTAGGGATTTCTTGTGCAATTCTGTGTCCAGCTTGGCCCAGAGCTTACTAGGGAGCACAGGGTCCCAGGCATGTGTTGAAGATAAAGACAGATTCATTCAACCAGCTGATCCATGCCAATACCCCCCACCAAAATCTGTCCAAGCCCTACTAGTTATGGCTGAGCAGAAGAGGCTGCTCCAAGCCCAGACAGGACCCTCTGCTGTCATGGGGAAGGGGATGGGGTTTTCTCCTTGCACAAAGGCATTGCAGATTGTGTCTCTTGGCAGGAAATAGAGCAAGGTGTGGTTTTACCTGTGGGTGAGTGACCGAGCAAGAGTCTGACTGAGGCACTCACAGACATCCCACCAGGTCAGTAACCCCTGCAGGCAGCAGCCAGCCACCAACACATGCATCCAGGTTTCTAGTGTGTCTGATCTCATCAGATGTCTCATGGAATTTAGCTCTCCTTTTCCAGGCCTCATCCTCATATCCCAGAGGACATCTCCATCAGTACTGAACAATGGACTGGAATGGAAATTACATATGAGTGCCTGACCTCTGGTGAGTGCATGTGTCTCATACTAGCCACCAAACCTTCTTCAGCAGAGAAAATACTGTACCTATGGGCTACAACAATTGATGAGCATTTCAAGAAAAAAGCAAGCACTGTTGCATGCTCAGGGAAAACAGAAAGGAGGAAGGGAAACTGGTACTTTTCCCAACCAAATGACACATTTACTTTAAAACTTACAGTGCAGGTTTGTTTCTAGAAGGTGCACAAACGGGCATTAATTTTGCATCTGGCAGTGGCTGCTGACAAAGTGTTTTAAATTATGCAGAGATCAGAAATATTAATCTTTATGTAAATGTTTATGACTAAAATTACTTTTATAGCAGTAATTTTTACAGAAACAATATTAATCAATCCAATGCCATATTAAAAATCAGTTAAATATAAAATTACTTTAAGCAGAATTCATCGTGGCTGGGAATGCTGTATTTCCATAAGCAGAGGGTAAAACGGATGTTTTGTCTTTATTTACTGCTGTTTTATACTAAAAGGAAAACGACAAACTGAAGGAGGACTCGGTATCTGGAAGCATGTCACCACCTAGTGACGGAGCCCAGGAGTGAATGAGAGCTCTGTGTGTGCAGCTCTAACAGGTGAGATAAAGCAATCGCATGATGGCTGAGCACAAAGCGTGTTCACACCAGAGCACAACACACAGAACTACCAGGTAATGGTTTCAGTCCTTCCTCAGACGTTGGCTTGGACTTCTCCAGGACTGACAAATCCCTCAGAGAAATCGCTGTATTTGCCAGATAGAAAGGTGTTGCCCCTTTCCCCCGCACCTTTGGTGATTCTGCAGAAGCCGGTGTGTGGGTGCTAAGGATGAATTCTTTTCTTTTGTGCCAATGCGTGAGGGTCCTAAAAGTGCAAGTCAGCAGCGAGGCAGCTGCAGAACTGTTTTGTTTCCCAGCTGAAACAGGGAAATTGTCACTGAAACTCGCAGGAAACTGAAATCGGCACAGCACAAAGACTGGTGGCATACAAGGGCAGGAAGGTGTCCTGCCCCACTGTGCCGGCTCCCAGTTTGCTAGTGAGTTGGGAAAGTCATATGAAAAACGTAAAACTCAGCCAGGGAAAAAAAAGTTCAAGACCGACACCAACTTCTGGACCTCCTCCCATTTGTCCTTCCCCGAGTTTGTTTCCCCAGTGGAAAGGGACCTGCCCTTGGGCTAGAAGGGCCAGCAAGCAGCGGAGACAAGTCTCTGAACCCCTTGCAGGAGACTGAAGCCTCTCCATACAGCTGCTTTTTAGGGTGGCAGGTTGCAACTGAGCCACAGCACCCCTGTACCTCTTCCAGGCTGTCCAATACTCCTCCCTGAGTGCCCTCACTGCTGGTGGTCGGCAGCCAGGTTTGCCCACCTGGAACACATGCTGTGTCTTACATTATCGCCTCCTGTTGTAACTCAGTTCCTTGTCCCTTACGAGCAGCAGTGACAAGCGTGTGTTGCACAGACCCTCCAGCCCGCTTCCTTTGTTATTTCAGCTGGTTTTAGCTTTAAACTATTTTCCTGGTCATTATTCTCATCCTAAATATTTAGGCGATAGAAGTCAAAAGAATGTGAGCACTGCCTGGCCGGTGTATGCCCGACCTGCAGCAAATCCAAAAGACAGCTTCAGGCTGGCCCCACCATGTGTAAGTCTAAGCAAGAGCCGTGTCCACATTTGTACTCTGGTGTTCAGACTTTTCAAATCGAGCTCTTCTCTCTCCCAGATGCAGGCGCCGCACTCTGTGCTGGTGGACACAGCAGGCAGAATTGGTGGGGCTTCCTAAGATCCCAGTTCCCTCTTGATGGCTTCTGACTGCCAGGGGCTCCCCGCTGGGACACGGGAGGTGTACACGGGCCAGCAAACCCCTCCGGAGCAAGGGCTCTCCTCTAAGGACTGCTAGAGGGAACGATTTCTTTCTATTTGTTCTGAAATATTCCGAGCAAAGTCCTCTTCCAGTTCCGGTTTCCTAACAAACCACAAAGCCCCACACTGCCTTTCATGCCAGCACATTGTCCGCTGCCCAGCAAACCCCTCTTACCTGAGAGTGCTGCGGGTGCCAAATCTGTTCACCTGCAGGTGTGGGAGATGGGGCAGAGAACGGCAAAATCCAGCCTTCAGTGGGAGCCAGCTGGGAGAGCCCTCTCCGGTGGGACCCCAGAGCTCTGCTCGGCTCCCTGGGACTCTGCCCGTGGGCGGTGAGGCACGGAGGGGGGGCTTGGTGGCTTTTATTCCTGCCGGCCTCCCGCTCTCACAGCTCTGGATGGCAGCGCCGTGGGAGCTGTGGGATGCGGGAGCGCTCGCCGGCGGAGCCCATCCTCATTAGTTTCCCCACTCCCACGGCTGGCTGGAGCCACAGCCCACCCTGTGCCGTTTCAGGGTGACAGCAGGGGGAAGCAAAGGACCCCACACAACTGTGGCTGTACAGGAGGGGAAAAAAAAAAAAAAAAAAGAAAAAAAAAGAAAAACAAAACCCCCCAACAAATTTCTTTCACTGAGTCTTTTATTTGAGAGGGGAAAAAAAAAAATTTATTCAGAAACCACTAGAGAGTGGTAACTACTTGGTTCGTTCTTCATGCAGTTTCCCTGCTTCCCCATCAATGCAGCTGAGAGAGCTCTTTGCAAACTCCCACATGTATCACCTCGGCTGCTGGCTCGTTTATGTCTTGTGTCACCCTGGCAGAGGTCTGTTTCTTAGACCTGCTAGGTCTCCTTCCCTTCAGCAGGTGACCATCTGGCATCTCAGCTGTAATTAGAGGTATGGATAATCTGCTGGCAAGCCCTTGTTTCTGCACCAGAAAAAGTGGGTTTGAGGGAGAGCACCTCTGCGGGAGGAGTGACGGCATTAATAAAGATTGATGTGTGCTTTGAGTCCACTCAGGAAGGCCCTGCAAGAAAGAAAAGGTTACCTGCTGCATTAGTCATCATCAGGGAGCTGACAAAGTGCCTGCTCCAGCTCAGAAGGAACAATTCTGCCTTCAGCTGCCAGGTTTGCACAGTTCATCACCAATCTAACTCCCACTGCTACGCATTCTGCATTAAGAAAATGGGTCCACACTGGGTCAGCCTAGGTAAAGAAAATGATGGTGTTTGATGGGTAACTTTGCATGCTGGACATGCACACACACAAAAACACAGCCACAGGTTGGCTCTTACACTCTCTGTGCTTTTCCCTGCAGCAAGGTCCAATAGGGAAAAAGCCCTGACCTCATGGTGGTGTGACTCCCTGATTGCCGTAGCCTTGCAGAGTGAAATTTTGGTGGAGGACGTTTGGCAGTGAAGCAGAAGGTGAGACTGTGGCTTTCATCCATTGCTCTGAAGCAGGGTTTTATTTGAGCACTTAGAGGAGGAAGCCATGCACTCTGTGTAGGCAGTGAAGGGAGCAGGAGACACTACTGGAAGACTCTGGTGCTCTCCACCGGTGCTGGAAGGGGCACAGCAGGCAGAGACTGAGACACACCGTCCAAATGGCCAAACTGGACAGCTGGGCATTCTGTTCTCCTAGTTCTTCTTTTCTTCTGAGTAATAAAGCTTCTTCTTCCAGCAGAGAAAGCTGTTTTCCCAGTGATTATTCCCAGGACCTGTGCCTGGCATTAGACATCAGCAAGGATTTCAGTTGTCCGATATCACTGCCCGCTTTTGGGGTGCATTTTCTCACCTTCCACGGAGCTCTGAGGCACGTGTGGGTTGCCTGTGTCTGCTAAGGTGATGTCACAGGGTGACACATCCTAACCCAGTTCCAGCTTGTGTGCTGCTCTCCTTGTGACTGCTGAGGTCCTGGGCTGAGCTGAGCAAAGGGACTCTGTAATGCTGCCACTGAAAGCACAAGCCAGACCATGCTCTCCTCAGACACAGCCCCCTCTCAGAGCAGGAGGCACTTTTACATCCCCACATAAAACACATTTGGGGTTTTTTTACCAGGTGCCTTTTTGGAAGGGGTTGCACTTCACCATTAATTTTTCTGGGTACGCAATATTTAGCATGGAGAGGGGAAGGGCCGTGTAAGAGATGCTGTCTCCTTTCCAGTTTGTGTTCATGTTCAGCTTATTTTCACCCTCTCTACAGGGTGAACACTTTTGCCACAGGGCCTTCTCCTAACTTGATGACTCAGAAGTCAAAATCAACATAGAAATAGTCCCCCATCTCCTACATAATATTTTCTTTTCAAATTGGAAGAGCCTGACTGCTTTTGTAAATGCTGGATGTAATCATGAATGTTATATTTTCCTGTATAAATTATCCTCGTGTATTGAAATACAAACAGCCAGTGGGAAAGAAATTAAGTGTACATTTCTTTCAGTGTTCAAGGCAAAAAATGTATATTTATCTGCTGAGAAATACTCTACTTTTGCAGTGGAAACCAATCATCAATAGCAACTTGCCAGCATTTTAATGATCGCCTGTGGGAATCCTGGAAATTATAACATTCAATCATCACAAGAAGAGCATAGGAAAAAAAATAACAGGGACCAAGAGTTCCTGTGACAAGTGCAGCCAGTGCTGTAGTTGACAGTGACATTTAGTAGTACCATTAAATTGCTTGATTTTGGTGTTTTTGAAGGAAAATTTTAAGGCAGCCTTAGGAAGACACTGGGACTGGAAGTGCTATCGAGTCACTGTGTGCCCAGCCTGAAGTCCCCTGTCTCTGAGAGCCACAAGGTGACCACCTCCACCCCCTGGGATGGTCTGGAAGCTGCAGAGCTTGGTGTGGGGCAGAAGCTGTGAAATGCTTCTGCTTGCTGACACACACAAGATCAGACCAAGCACTTTCCTCTCATGTGCATCATTGAGAAAATGTTTTGTGTGTCTGTCATTATAAATTACAGCTCCAGGTGAAGCCTGTTGCTGTGGATGTTTCAGTTCCTTAGCTTCTTCCTACAAGACTGTCTTGGGGAAGGGATGTTTATGTTCTGGTCTCTGTGGCAGTTTACTCGGCAATGCCCAAGAGGTAAGGCAGAAAATGAGAAACTACCAGACTGTCTGCTTCACACTTTCCTTTACTCAGGATAATTTATCACAATGTATTCTAGGCCTAAGGAATAGAGAGACAAAAGACAAAGTGTGCTGGATAACCTCTGAGGGGAGTAACTTTATTAAAGTCTAGTAAGGGATAACTGCTCATGTTGCAGCTTTCACTTAGGTTATTCAGAGGGTCTCTTTTTCTACTTTAATTATGTATCACAAAAGCAAAATAGGACAAGATTTACCTTGGTTTTGTAGGTAAGATTACAAGACACAAAGGAAGCAGCTGTTGCTTGGGATACCTTTGAACCTCCAGCCCCAGATGTCAGAGGATAATCCTGGGAAAGTAACAACAGATGTTCCCTGGGTCCATAGCCATTATCCATCCAAGGCTTGGAAATGAGCCAGATGTCCTCACCTCATTTGCTTGTATCCCTGAGTCTTCAGTTACTCTATCAAATTCAATCAAAATTGGAAAATAGATTTGCAAGATATTAGAGGGAGCAGCCAGACAGCAGAACCCAGGGCAACAAATGCACATGGTATGTGCCCATAGAATGCCAGGCTAGACCAAAACTTCAGTGCTTGAAAATTTACTAATGGAATTACTTCCTTAGGAATGTTTGCTGGTTTCCTATAGGGAAAAAAAAAAAAAAAAGTTTTTTCATTTATATTGAATGGCATTCATCAGAGATTGTCCCCCACTGGTAGTTCAGGAAATGAACCTGTGTGTTGTTCTGTGTACAGAATTTTTTTTATTTAAATAATAAATACATTTCTTTAAAAATTCCGGTCCTCTATTCCCTTGCTAATCCACCAAAGTAACAAATATCCCTAATTAATGTGAACAAAATTTACCCACAAACCTAGAATATTAACTGGGAGATTCCAATACTCTTGAAACTTCCAGTAAGAGAAAGTGGGATTACTGCAGATATAAAAGCCAAACCCCCTATTGAGGTCCATGTATTCTTTGTTTATGCCACTACAGAGTGTGCTAGACAAATGTGTAGAGTTTGCAAAACCTTTTGGGAGTCCCTGAAAAATGAAGTGGGGGATAAAAAGATTAGCTCCTCACACAAGGGCATAATAAAGCTACTGAACATTTCTGTCTTAATTGTGCTTCGTGCTAGAGTACGAGGGAAACTTACCACAGCTGAATAAAATGCTAAACTCTCCTAGCAGCAAAATGCCTCCTTTAATATAACAGCAGGAATATAAACCTCTCAGTTGTAAGATATAGTTGACAAAAAAGGCTTATAACTCACAGAGGTTTTACATGGAATGAAAAAAAAAAGCCTGTGAAGTTACTATTTTTGAAATATGATAATCTAAATCAGCAGTTTAATTTGCACTTCTACATATCAGAATTAATATTCCCATTGCAGACAGACATAATAAAAAGTGCTGTTCCATTGACAACAGAAGATAACATTGTACATTTTCTTTTTTTTAATTTCATTTTCTCATATTTCATTTCTCATTAAATATGCCTTTTGCCACCTTTCAGTGCATTTTCCTCCTCAGCTGGAGGATAGTGGACCGTATCTAACACCGTATCTGTTCAACAGAACTGAAAATTCTAACTCTCCAGAAGGGAGGACCACAATCCCTACTTGTAGCCTTAACTCACGGGAAAAAGAACCATGTGTTTGCTGTAGAGTAGTTATGGTGCATGATAAGGAGAAAAAGCAGGAATACCACAGAACAGCTGAGTGACCACAAATGAGCCAGGATGGAGTTCAGTGCAGTATTGACATGAGTGGAGTGAGGAGTCTTCATGGCAGCTGTCTGACTGAATACGTGATTTGTGGGGGAAAGAAAAGAGAAAGAAGAAGAAAAAAGATGAAAAGCTGTTGCTGTGCAGCTGAGTTGAGAAAGAGGATTTTTTTCACTGTCACTAATGTACTGAGAGTCAAATAGAGGTATCTACCCAGGAATTCCCATTAGGGTCTGCAGAGAGGCATGGTCTGATGTGGTTCCCTAAGCATATCCCACCTGGCCCACACAGAAGGATGTGAGTCTTGTCTTGCTGACCCTGGCTAGAGGGGTAATTGAGGGCACCTCAGACAG